AGGAAGCTAAATGTCAAATGTCTAGCAAAGTCCAAAATGCAAAAATCTACATTCAAAATACTACTTTCTTTAAAAGAGACTGCTACTTACTGTACACTGTATATAAAAGAAAGAGAGCTAGCAGACCATAGTGACTTAGCCTACCACGACTGCAGTCTTAGATCCTGAAGAGGGCTTTCCAAGGAGCTGGAGGGGAGATGATTTGACATAAGAGGTCGTTTGGTTGACTCATATTTGGCCCTTAGCTTTTCAAGGTGAAGAGCCATGAAAGAAGGCTTGAACATCAATAGGTGAGCGCGTGCCTGTGAAGGTCCAGAGGGCACTTCTTTTCATGGCTTCCATCACGAGCAGAGGAAATGGGCTATCCGTCAGCAGCCCCATGCATTTCAATGGTAATCAATTCAGCAGAGCAGGCACAGTTAGCTCGGGACACCCACAAGCTCCAGCAAGGTGGAACGGAGGATTTTTGGTGCAAAGAAAACTCCACTAGTGTGAAGGATTTTTATGGAAAATGATGCAAATCTAAAGTCTAAAACATGATATTTTTCTTAGTTTTGTAATTTGACATAAGTGGATTTTTTCAGTATCCGCAAAGTATAAGCATGTCCCAGTGATTTAGACAATTATAGATTTTGCTAATGGAATCTAACCTCTATGGATATGTAATACTTTTTTGTTTACAACCCTTTATATATACACATGTTGGTCAAAAATCTGAGATGTTACTGCATTGTTTAGAATTTTAAACCTATCTATCACATTGCGGCACTATGCTCCATTACAATTCAGATCTGAAGGAATTATTGTATTTTTGAGCAACAGAAACACCTCTCGTGAAGGAATGCTACATGTTTATGTTTACGGTCATACCATGGAACAAACATGTCCCGGGGGGCCAAATTTGGCTCGCACTATAATTATATTTGGCCCACAAGATTGTCTCAAATATGTATTACAGCTGGCCCCCCGGCTACAGACAGGCTATAGATACATTATTTATTTAAAATGTTGTTATTATTGTATATTATGTTTGTCCTGAATTCAGTGATTAAGCAAAACTAATATTAAACATTTATTTTATTAAGAAAAAGTTTAACATTACATATCTCGAAAGAAGAGAAAACCAGTGTTGCAGATGCAGATGTTGTTGACATTTTTCAATAAATATTTAGTTTGGCCCAAGACTTAGTCCCAGTTTTTAATTTCCCTCTGTGAATATGAGTTTGACACGTCATCGCCATGGAGACAAGTAGGTAGTGGACCTCTTTCCCAGAAAAGTTACATAGTGCACCTTTAATATAATTTTATGTATATTGTAATGTGATTTTTGACCAACATGTTATATGGCAAATTTCTTAGATTTTAAAACAACAGATAATACATTATTGCATTTTTGGTCATTTGTGCTTTTTGCTACTAATAGGAAATTATATAATTTTATCTACGTATATACCTACCTTTATACCTATACTATTGTACACCTCAGTTCTGTAAAAGAGCTTTCTATCCCATTGCATTTGGAAGGGCATCTGGCATAAAAGCCAGCAGCTGCACTGAATTACATCATAAACATGCTTTATGCCTAATCTAGAACCCCAAATAATGTGTATTTGTCAGCTTGATGGCTCCAACACTGCAAAATGTCTCTTCAATAGTAGGACTTGGCGTTTTAGTACAGCTCCATTTGGCAGAGTGTGATTTTGTTGTGCGACTAGAGAAAACATATGATAATTTGACCATTTTTATGCATGAGACTACTCCCCCTTTTCCTTTAGAACGACTTGAATACAAAGTACTATTTTCTGTACTTTTAAAAATTATTGTCTTAGAACGCTGCTTTAGAATTTGGAATTTTTATTTTGAAAAGAAACCTCGATTTAAATAGTGAGATTTCAAATCCGTTGCATCAGTGGGAATAGTGGAGGCAAAATGAATGAGATATTTGACCTTTGCAGAGCCGTCCCTGGGTAGTGTGCTTTGCTGCAGGGCACGAAGGCAGGAGGCAGTGAACAGTGTTGAAATGATCACTCCCACTGTTAAACCTGGTCTCCCACTAACTCCACTCTCACTATTAATGGGCCAGAAATACAGTGAAAGCATAATAAGACATAAGCACTGTACAAAGCTTATACCGAGATGTGTAAAATTAGGCTAACTAGGAGTGTTTTAATAAAGAATAAGATTTTTGTTCTTTTGGCCATACAGTATTATGAAAAGGTCAGTGAAATTGAGCCAATGGCAAAATGAATAATTGCAGTGTAGATTCGAAACCTCATTCAAATCCACAAGTGTTATGGGAAATATTTTGGACCAAAGAGCAACTCATTATTTTCAGATTGTTTTATTTTTTAACAAGCGATTTTATTGTGAGAAGTTCTAAGCAGAGGGTTTATTACTGTATTTGGTCATTATTTAAAAAGCGCACTATATTTTTTTGGTACCTCGAATGTTCTATTGTAAAGCATTAAAGGAACAGTCTGGAATTTTGGACATAGGACTTCATTTCCTAGTGAGCCAGAGTGTTGAAGATGTGTGGAGACACTTTTTTAAATATTCCATTCAGTCTTTGTTTTTGCAGAGGTCGCTGGTGCTAGGCTAGTGCATGTCAATGGCCATAGTTATCCTGCCACTAAAAACTGTCTTATCCACTCCACAAAGCACCCGGCGCAAAACAATTATTACGCCAGACTGTCGATGTAAATGTCTTTGTGGATAAAATAATTTTAGAAGTAAAACCAACCTTTCATTTGAATGATTTATGTCTGAGTTGTACTTCCTGTTTGAAAGTTTGGCAGTGGCGGACTGATACCACCTAGCACCTATCTTACTGGCAAAGTAAAAGTCCGCTGCTGCTGAGAAAATAGTCCCTCAACATGTGATGATTCATGCGAATGCAAGTTTATCTTTATTTCAAACATTATTCTGTCAACACAGACATTTACATCAATAGTCTGGAGTTATAATTGTTTTGCCTCGAGTGCTTTGTGGAGTGGGTAAGACTGTTTTTAGTGGCAGGCTAACTATGGCTATTGACATGTGCTAGCCTAGCACCAACGACCTCTGCAAATACAAGGACTGGATGGAAAAAAAATGTTTCCACAAATCTCCAACACTCTGGCTCACTAGAAAATGAGGTCCTATGTCCAAAATTCTGGCCTGTCCCTTTAACTGTTTCCATGGAGAGAAGCAGGTGAAGCCATCGGGTCAAATTGGTTGGATCTGTGGAAAAGTGATGCTGTTTTTCTAGGTATTTTATTATAACATTCCAGAAATGATATCTGCATAATGATAATGGTAGACCCTAACCAGAAAAGTTATCTTAGTACCCTTTAAAAAATGGCATTTGCTGGCTTTTATTTCTTTTGAACTTATGTAAACAGTTGGTGAGATATTAGTGAGTGGACATAACATAACCTTCATTGTAAGACAACTCCAACCAGACTGGTGTATGAACCCATTCTTATTTGCACTTATTGTACCTGATTTAAAGCTACCATCTGTATGTTTCTTTGATTTTTGTTTCCAGTAGATGTCAGATGTGAAACCTGTTCCCCCTCCCCTCACCTAGCCTTTGTTCAGGTCAAAACTACCAGACAGCAGTAACATAGACAGTAGAATGGAGGTGGTATCTGAGAATACAACAGGACCAGGTCTGCCAATCAAACTTATAAAATAATTTACTTTTTAGTCAGTAACGTTCGCCCAGCATTGTTCATGCAGCAGAAGCAGCAGCAGGTCGTGTTGTTGCCAAATTTTGAGCTAAAGCTTGTGTCATTTGGCAGAATGATGGAGCAGAGAGGCTGACAGCTACCGGCAGGAAACATGTCAACACTATGACAGATGCTAGCTTTTCCAAAGGCTATGATGACTTTTTAGTTGACTGGGTTTTCACTGAACTGCCCCCACATCCCACAATCAAAAAGTACAACGCCAAAGCAGGGAGCCGATCAGAAGTGGTTTGTAATAGTTTAGAGAGAAAGGAAGGAGTGCTTGTCTTTGTTCAGCAGGAGATGGGCTGTCAGGTTCACAAAGCGCGGCCACTGCTTCTCTGTGGGAGGTGGTCTCGGCAGTGCAAATGAGTGGTCTGTACTTGTGATGAAGATTCGCGGTTTGCTAAAGATATGTGAGAAACAAAAGGACAGACTCTATTGATTGTCAGCCAACACATTAACATCGCCTCTGACACGCATGCTTTTACACCAGCGCCATTCATCCACTCTCAACATGAGTCAATATGTTAACATCCATGCATCTCCCTCCCATGGATATTTAAAGAGCTCACTGAAGCTGGGAAAACAAACAAACACATGCTTTTGTGTTTTTTATTTGATTCTGATATTTTTCTTTTTTATTGTCTCAGTGGGATGGAATGATTTTAGCAGCAGTGATAGCTTTTGAAGTAACATGAAGTAACATGTAGTTATAAAGGTGGTAGCAGTAGTAGTAGTAGTTGTCGTAGTAGTTGTCGTAGTAGTTGTAATAGTCATAGTAGCAGCAGCATTGGCAGTAGTTGTAGTAGTCGTCCCAGTCGTAGTCGTCGCAGTCATAATCGTAGTAGTAGCAGTAGTAGTAGTTGTAGTCGTAGTAGCAACAGTAATGGTAGTAGCAGTAGAAGCAGCAGGATTAGCAGTAGTAGTAGTAATAGTCATAGTAGTCGTAGTAGCAGTAGCAGTAGCAGCAGCAGTAGCTGTTGTAGTCGTAGTCATAGTAATAGTCGGCGTAGTTGTCGTAGCAGTAGTAGTCGTAGTAGCAGCAGCAGTCAAAGTAGTTGTAGTAGTAGAAGTTGTAGTAGCAGCAGCAGCAGCGGTAGTAGTTGTAGTAGCAGTAGAAGTAGTAGTAGTAATAGTAGCAGTAGTAGTAGCAGCAGTGATACAAAATATATACAATGAAAGTATTTTTTCTAAATTCAACTTCTTCCAATAGTTTCCCATTTGAAAACTATACCATGAGCACTTTCAAATTGAATTCACTCATAAAATCTCATGTTTTTCTATAGAATCATGCCATCCATTCTCACCTCCGCCCTCCTTTCTCTCACCTCTCTCCATCCAGACTCCATCTTGTGTGACGTGGGCGAGTTTGAGTGCTTGGACAAAGCTCGCTGTGTCCCAGAGGAGTGGCTCTGTGACGGAGAGCCGGACTGTCCAGACTCGTCCGACGAATCTCAACAAACATGTAAGTCGGCCATCCATTTACCATACATGCACCAAAATACTCATACGCACTGTGCATTTAATGGCTGTCTATTTTATATCAAGGCTGTACAATCTATAAACCTGCATTGCAAACAACTTTTTGCATCACAAATCAAGGTCTCAGGTCACAGTGAAACTACAAGTAATAAAAAGTAGCAGCAGAAGTGATGTTAGTAAAAAGCTAGTAAAAATGTTTCAGAAAGCTTGGCCAGTTTTTCTCAAACCAACGGCAGAAGTAGCTATCTATGTATAAGGGGATGAGCATTTTCTGAGCTTGGGGGTAAGGGAGTCTGATGTCACCCATACTGTTCAGCTCCAGTCAAATAAAGCTCATGAGGCTAGCGGTTATAAGCTTGAAAACTCCACTCACGATCAAAAACCTGCCCCTTATTGCAAGACAAGATTAAGTTTTCCTCTGCCCTTGACGCTAGTATTGGAGGATGGGTCAAACGCAAAGAACGTACATGATTTCCTATCTGGAGAGTACAATCTAAAATCTAAACCAAGCTTTAGGGTTGTTGAAAAATTGAGACAGGAAAGCATATAGGTTGGATATACTTTGATCTGAATAGTTTTATTATCGTCTTAATCTTTGCCAGAACTAGAATAAGACCACATGGTAAGAAACTACTATTATGCTGTATTTATTGTCTAAAATGTTTGCTTGCTTTTTTCCACTGTGGTAACAAAACAGGACTGTAATGTGTATTCTTTCGTTTCAAAAAACTAGCACTACCAGCTGGTTGTTATACAGTAGAACCTTCATTGTTACAAGTCCAAGGTGTAGTGCTATTGCATAAAATCATTTTTTTCCCCCCATTGTTGGCAGTTCTATCAGATACTTGAGAGACTTAGGCCCTACTGAGTCTTCAAAGCAGACAACAACGCTGAAATAGAATGTACTGTATGGCTGTGTGTTCTTTATGTTTATGTGTTATGGTCCAGGGAGACAGTGGTGCTGAAAACTATTGATCAATAAATGAAGAGCACCGCTATTCTGTGTTTACGTTGCCAGATCCACTGAGAGAAATTAACTGTCCCGCAGCGCTACTATAGAGACTATAGAGTAAATAAAATAAGTGACAGTGGGCAATCTGCACTGACTGAAACACTGAAAATATATATGAAACAGAAAGACAGATGACCATTTATTATTAGTCTGTCTACATCTCCAAAGCTAAAAATGCACTGTTCCACTTTATGATATCATGAAGCAGTAGTTTCCATGCTAACAGCTACCACTTACCTTTTGCTTATTAAAGGGACAGTCTTGAATTTTGGACATAGGACCTCATTTCCTAGTCAGCCAGAATGTTGGAGACATGTGGAGACACTTTTTAAAATATTCCATTCAGTCCTTATATTTGCAGAGGTCGCTGGTGCTAGGCTAGTGCATGTCAATGGCCATAGTTATCCTGCCACTAAAAACAGTCTTACCCACTCCACAAAGCACCCTAAGCAAAACAATTATAACGCCAGACTGTTGATGTGAATGTCTGTGTCAATAGAATAATTTTAGAAGTAAAACCAACATTGCATTTGAAGGATTTATGTCTGAGCAGCAGCAGCGATTTGTACTTGATAGAAAGCTTGGCAGCGGCGGAGTGATATATGAGAAAATAGTCCCTCAACATGCGACGATTCATGAGATGCAAGGTTAGTTTAATTTCAAGCATTATTCTATCGACATAGACATTCACATCAACAATCTGGCGTAATAATGGATTTGCGTCGCGTGCTTTGTTGGAGTGGGTAAGTGGCAGGCTAACTATGGCCATTGACATGCACTAGCCTAGCACCAGCAATCTCTGCAAATACAAGGACTGGATGGAATTTCTTTAAAAAAAGTGTCTCCACACATCTTCAACATTCTGGCTAACTAGGAAATGAGGCCCTATGTTCAAAATTCCGAGCGATCTCTTTAGTAGAGATTGGCTGAAATCATCCAAATTATTCTAGTGATGGTATGTGGCTTTTAAAAACATACCTGTATTACCTCATGACATCACAAGGTTGAACAGTGTGTGTTTTCTGTTTGAGGGAAGAACTCAGTCTAAATCTGCAGGGTTTGTGTGTTGAAGAAAGAAGAAAACACATCTCCAGTTGTGTTTTTGATGAGGAAACAACATTATAACATGGGTCAGAATATAGAGTGCCCTTTAAAATACTCAGTACTGGTGTCAATCCCATAGTGATCATAAAAAAGTCTAATAGTTTCAGTATCTACACCTACTTTAAAGAGTATCTAGCACTGATACTAGTTTTAGCTAGAACATATGGTGCATATTGTCAATTGAAACAGTAACACACCCCAATATTTTTAGAGATGCTAAGGGAAAAAGCAGCACTGTCAAGTTTGCTGTCAGGTATTGTTTACAGAGAAAGCCATTGAGTTTACAACCTTAGATAAAACATGACAAGAGAATTTAGTATACATTTAATGTGTAGCCAGTAATTGTTTGGACATCCTCAGAAAGTTGGAGCCAATTGAACGTGGCCTGCTCCGCGTGCATCAATCTTTCATGTCCTGATCTCTGTGTTGTAACTTTTAGAGACTTTGAATAGTGACTCATCCTTCTTTCTCCCACAAGGACGAGCTCAACAAATCACGTCAGCACACACCCGGGAGCTGTCTGTCAGAGCCACAGTATGCTGTTATTGGTACATCTGTATAATGCTTTGTGCTACGTTACATATACATTCAAGGGTAAACTGGGGAATAGGGATGTTAAGATTATTTGAATTGAAAATCGTGACTATAGAGGTCACAATATAAAAAAAAAAAAAAAAAAGATACATTTCAGAATATTAAAATTAAAAAGTAGGCCTAAATAAAGCGTGTCTATAATCTATCTATACAAAAGTAAAGGATTTCAGTAATTGTGAATAATTGTAAAATCATAATCGCTTCTTCTTATGATAACCGTAACATCAACATTTGATATTGTGAACTCCATAGTGCAGTAGTTCTGAGAAATATTTGAATGATTTTCATGTGGTTATAATTGTTTTTAAAGTAGTATTTTGTATTATACTTTTCAGAGTCATGTTACAGTTGTTTCCTCTTCTCATTTACTCTCTCAAAGTTATTTTTTGAACTGATTTGTTCATGTATGAGCAAATTTAAATGACTAATTTTCAAGACTGCTTACTTCGTTTTGACAGTGCTGTGTAGTCTTTTTTTAATCTGCTACTCGCCAGTGTGATCCGCAGCTATCCATAGAAGGTACCTCAGTTTTCTAACACAAAAATCAGGGGTCTTGTTTCTTGTATAAAGACGAATATTGCAATTTTAGATGAATATTGTGATTTAAAATGTGCAAAGTATTACATAATGATCCATGGGTGTTGTAGATTGTAACTATATATCAGGCTCAAGCACAAATGTGTTCTTTAAATGTGAGAATCTATAGTAGGAACCACTAAAGATAATCATGTGTTCCTATACGTAGTGTCAGTACATGTCACAAAATAGTACACAAAAACATGCCATTCAAGTGGGCCTAATAGCATCCTTTCAGTGTATTATTAACAGATGATAACACCATGAGAGATTGTTAACATTTTATCAATCTGACTAAGTGTAAATTAGCCCCTAATGTAAATCACATTGGACTTGTCACTGTTGCCACAATCCGTCACCTCCAAAAATGGCTCCATCAAACAGAGATATTAAAATTCAGCGCAGGTTCCTCATCAGCGTGAGTTATTGGCCGTAATTGGGTCTTTATGGTTTTGGCAGTGGCATCTGTGCATAAATTGACCACACTGTGCAATATTTATTAACGTCTTCGCATGCAAAAGGTCATATATCAGGAGGGGCATGATGAGAAGGGGATGCTTGTTAGAGAAGAGGAAGACAAAAACAAATGTTAAGAGATGAAAGATATGAAAAGATAGTTAAGGTGGGGATATGCCACCTGCTTGTATCCATGAATATGTAATTGCTTTGCCTGGAATGTTCCACAGTATGACATTAACTGTATGTGGTGAAGCAGCCCTGCTCACAGTAAGAATGCATGATTATTCCTGTAGTTTAATAAATGTCACATATATTTAAAGCCATACTGCAGAATATTCCAGGCAAAGCAATAACACCTCCATGGAGACAGGCAGGAAAGTTCCATAAGACATGCTTTGACTCTGGTACCTCTTTGGATCACTTTGGTCCTGTTATTTTGAATGGTGATGTGATGTGCATTTCCATGATAAGCACAACTCCAAGCCCAGGGGCAGAGGCCTCTTACACGAGCAACTGACGTCACCCAAACATAACAAATCTTTTCTTAATAAATAACATCTAAATTGTAGATGATTTATTCATTTTAGTCATAAGGCCGAGCTCAGCAATTCACAAAAAGGCTTTTAGTAATTCCATGTTTGTGCCATTGGCTAAAGCTAGAGAAACATTTTTTTAACGCTCAAGCATTAATGAATTTATAGTTACACAAAACATGCAAATGATTTTTAAAGGTGCATTATGTAACTTCTCTGGAGAGGGTCTACATCCTGTTTGTCTCCTTGGAGATTTTAAAGATTTGGTTTAAATATTCCACAATATGGTATTAAATTTGCCTTGCATTGATTCAACTACAAGTGTTATTTATTGCTCAAAATCATCTTTAAAAACATGAATTCTTACTGTGAGTGGGGTTTCCTTTTCACAAATCGAACCTGTAATTTGTCTTGCAAGTCTCCATGGAGATTTTTTTTTTAATTTTTTTTTATTAAAGACAACAGAATATAACATTTAACAAAATACAGTAACACTTTAGTTTAGGGACCACATATTAATAGTAATTGCTAATTAGCTGTTACTTAGCTATTAGTTGGTATTAATCAAACACTTATTCATGCTTATTAAGATTTCAATGTATGCACAAAACATCTATTGCAATCCCTACTACTTTAATGGGCAGAAAATAGTTAATGGGTTGATACTCGCAAAATAGACAAAAAATGCACTGACAGTACTTTATA